TTTTAGTAAATTCGCATGGAAAACAGGATGAATATTTCTATAATGTTTTGGGAACGATAGTTTAAATGCCACAGGATTTATAACCTTCTCAATTGGGAAAGGCCCCACATATTTTGGAGCACTTCATTAATTAGTTGCATAAACACCCCGGGCGCTCCCGAAAGACCGAATGGGAGGACCTTGTACTCATAGCAGCCAAAAGGCGTCGAAAATGCTGTTAAATGCTCGTCTCCTTCGCGAATTCTTACTCTGAAATATGCCTCCCTTAAGTCCAATTTAGTAAATATTTTCCTCTTTGACAGTTGAGCAAGCAGGTCCTTCATCAAAGGGAGGGGATACTTATTCTCTTTGCAAATTGCATTGAGACCCCTATAGTCCGTACAAAGCCTCAAGCTTCCATCTTTTTTTTCCCGAAATAAAACGGGTGCTGCCGTGTGTGATTTAGCTGGCTGTATAAATCTCCTTGCCAGATTGGTGTCTATACATTCCCTCAGAGCGGCAAGCTTTTTCTGGGTCATTGAATAAGTTTTCTTTTTTGGGAATTTAGCTCCTGGCTGAATCTCTATAGCACAGTCATTGTCTCTGTGGGGAGGCAGTGTATCTGCTTCTTTTTTGCTGAATACAGCCTGTAAATCCCTGTAGGGCTCAGGAATGCTTTTAAGGGACTCTGGGTCCAAATCTAGTGATTTGCCCATGCTGCTAGCTGTTGCCGCCGTTGCAGTTTTTATTTTTCCTGGCTGCTCAGGTCCCAAATAAATTCCATCTGCAAATTGCAGTTGCCCCGTCTTCCAAAAAACTCGGGGATCCCACCTTTTCACCCAGTTTGCTCCAAGGATTAGGGCGTAATTCCCTAAAGGAGCCACTAAACATTTAAGAGTCTCTCGGTGGGTCCCTACTTGTAGCTCAAAAGGCTCCGTGCGATACAGCACAGCCCCTCCCCCTGCTTTTGACCCATCCAGCTGGGTGAACACTATGGGAGTCCTTATTTTCTTCACCCTTAGCTCCAACGTGTTAACCAGTATGGGACTGATCAAACAGCGTGAGCAGCCGGTATCCATTAGCGCAGTTAGCGTGGCTTTGTATTCTGTTCTGAGCGCTGAAATAGTCACTTTAAGGGTGGTAACATTCACCGACTCATCGTCATCGGAGTCGTCCTCCTCCTCCTCCGGTTCAGCCTTGGGTTTGTGAGCAGGTTTGTCGGGCTCGACGCTTGCCTCTTGTTCTTTTCCAACCAATCCATTTTTGTAAATGATGAGGTCTGGGAACGGCGATTCCGTACCTGCCGCTGCGGTTCCTTTTTTCCCTTTCGTGCCGGGCTTTTGTGCTGCTCCAGCAAGCTTTTTCGCCTCCCCCGCCCGTCTGGGTGGCAGTTTAGGACAGGAAGGCGCCAAATGACCGGGCTCCCCGCAGTGGAAGCAAACACGATTGACCCCTCTAGGAAATCTCTCGTCTCCTCCTCTCGATGGTTGTCTTCGGGACGTCGCCGCCAGGGCGCTGGGTCTCCTACCGAAGTCCGGGTCTATTCTTTTCCACTGGGCTTCGACATTACCCGCGTGCTGGATCCATCCATCTAGGGAATTTGGGTCTCCCCAGGCGAACGCTAACTTCCAGAGGTCACGACCCATTCCTTGCTGGAAGCAGTCAATTTTGAACTGCTCTGGCCAATCCGGAAGCAGCCCCGCAACGCCGCGAAACTCCAGGACGTACTCGCCGAGGCTACGGGTTCCCTGCCGCATCGTGCTTAGTTGCGCCCGGGCTTGGGTGACTAGTCCTGCGTCCTCAAATCTCCTGCGAAGAGCAGTTAGGAACCCACCCAGGTAGTTTAGTTCTGGCGCTTGTGCTGCTCGGAGCTGGATCAGCCACTCCCCCGCTTTGCCGGTGAACACTCTGCAGATGTAGAGTGCGCGCTCCCGGTCGGAGGCAAAAAGATGCCCCGTCTGCTCCATGCATATGGTGATTTGAGCCATGAAATTGGGTACTTCATTTGGGTCCCCGCTAAATTTTTCGGTTAACCCCCAGCGCTTTAAAAGGGCATCTTGCTGGGCTTGGATTGGGGCAACCCTCCGGGGTATCATCGGGGCGGGCGCAGGTGGCGGAGCTGGGCCAGCCGGAGGACCCGGGGCTGCGGGGGTTGCAGGCGTGGTTGGTGGGGCTATTAGCGATTCCTCCAGCCCTTCTTCTTCGCCCTCCCCCTCTGTGCCCGGGCTCTGGTACAGACCTGAACGACGGACGAGTTCGCTCATCCTCATCAGCTCCCTCTTTGGCATG